TCCAGATTCCTTCCATGATGCCAGCATCACTGTAATACCAAAGCCAGGTAAAGATACAACCAAAAAAACTATAGACCCATATCCTTAATGAACATAGATGCAAAATTTCTCAATAAGATATTTGCAAACCGCATAAAGACACACATTGAAAAGATCATCCACCACGATCAAGTCAGCTTTATCCCAGAGATGCAAGGATGGTTCAATATACATAAGTCAATAAACGTCATAAATCATATAAATGGGCTCAAGGACAAGAGCCACATGGCCGTCTCAATAGATGCAGAGAAGGCTTTTGACAAAATTCAACAGGCATTTATGTTCAAAGTCCTAGAGAGAATTGGACTAGAGGGAACATATTGCAACATAATTAAAGCCATATATAACAAACCCACAGCCAACATCATTCTAAATGGAGAAAAACTGGAAGCATTCCCATTGAAATCAGGAACCAGACAAGGCTGTCCACTATCTCCACTTCTCTTTAGAATAGTGCATGCTTGAAACTCTTGCAAGAGCAATAAGACAAGAGCAGGAAATTAAAGGAGTAATAATTGGAAAAGAAGAGATCAAATTATCCCTTTTTGCAGATGATATGATATGTAAGAGATGCTAAAAATTCCACCAGAAAATGCCTAGAAATTATTAACACATTCAGTAAAGTGGCAGGTTACAAAATTAACCTACAAAAGTCTGTAGTCTTTCTATATACCAATGACAAGCAGTCAGAGAAAGAGTACATGGAACACTCCAAAATAGCTGCAAAAAAAAAAAGAAATCTCAGAATAAACCTTACCAAAGACATTAAAGACCTCTACAACGAAAATTTTAAATCTTTAAAGAAAGAGACTGAGGAAGACATCAGAAGATGGGAGGACCTCCTATGCTATTGGATTAGAATAATTAATATTGTGAAAATGACCATCCTACCAAAAGCCATTTATAGATTCAATGTAATACCAATCAAAATCCCTAAGGTATTCTTCACAGAGTTGGAATAAAACCATCCTAAGATTCATATGGAAGCACAAAAGACCTCGGATAGCCAAAGCAACCCTGAACACTAAGAGCAATGCTGGGGCTATTATTATACCATATTTTAAACTGTATTACAGAGCTATAATCATAAAAACAACATGGTACTGGCACAAAAATAGACCCGTAGATCACTGGAAGAAAACTGAAGACCAAAATACGAGTATATGCAATTTTACCCAACTGATATTTGACAAAGTGGCCAAGAACATTCACTGGAGGAAAGATGGCAGGTTCAGCAAATGATGCTGGCAAAACTGGATCTCCACCTGTAGAAAGATGAAACTAATACCCCTATCTTTCACCCTGCACAAAGTCAACTCCAAATGGATCAAATACCTCAATGTGAAGCCTGAAACTCTGAAATTATTAGAAGAAAACATTGGCAATAGCCTACAAGTTATAGGTATAGGAAAGGATTTTCTAAACCGGACATCAGTTGCTCAGGAAACAAGGGCAAGTATTATCAAATGGGACCTCATTAAACTAAAAAGCTTCTGTACATCAAAAGAAGCAACCAAGGAAGTAAAGAGAAAACTCACAGAATGGGAGAAAAATCTTCACCCGCAACACATTTGACAGAGGTTTAACATCCAGAATATATAACGAACTCAATAAACAAATACTCAAAAAAGGAAATAACCCAATTAAGAGATGGGCTAAGGAGCTGAATAGTTCTCAAAAGAAGAAATAAAGACAGTTAAGAAGCATCTTAAAAGGTGTCCAACATCATTAGTAATTAGGGAAATGAAAATTAAAACCACTCTAAGATTTCATCTTACCCCAGTCAGACTGGCTAAAATCAAGAGAACAAATGATACTAAATGTTGGAGAGGAAGTGGGGAAAGGGGAACACTCATCCACTGCTGGTGGGATCGCAACCTTGTTCAAGCCATATGGAAAGCAGTGTGGAGAACTCTTAAAAAACTACAAATGAACCTACCTTTTGACCCACTCCTTGGCATATACCCAAAGAACTCATCCTATTGCAGAGACACTTGTACATCCACGTTTGTTGCTGCTCTTTTCACAATAGCTAAGAAATGGAAGCAGCCTAAGTGTCCCCCAACTGACGAGTGGATAATGAAAATGTGGTTCATTTATATGATGGAGTTTTACTCAGCAATAAAGGAAGATGAAATCTTGAAATCTGCAGGTAAGTGGCTGCAACTAGAAACTGTTATACTAAATGAAGTAACACAGACTCAGAAAAAGAAATGACATATGTTCTTCCTCTTATGTGGATACCAGCACCAAATCCTTATAAGTGAGTATGTATCCAGACATAACTACAGGAACCAGGATAATGGAAAGGAACCAGGGAGGTAAGGGAAAAGAAAAAATCTGAAAGAGAAGAACAGTAGGAAACAGGCGTTTAAGGGAAGGGGGGAGGGAAGGTTATAAAAGGAACCTTGGGGATAAAGGGAAAGAAGGAGCTCAAGAGAGATGGGACTATAAGAGGATATTTTTAAGGGAGAAATGGGAAAAATGGGGGGTACTTTAAATGGGGAAACCATGGTGGAACGGTAAGACAATGCTAGAAATAAATAATGCCTAGCTAGTTTAAAAAAACAAAACAAAACAAAGGGAACTATAGTAATCAAACAACATAGTGACAAATTATACATACAGCTAGCTGAAGGAATATAACACATATCTAGGCAAGGTTTATCTGAGAACATTTAGTCTTTGCCCAAGCTTTATCTACATAGTACATAGTAATTAAAAGTACCAGACTGGTGGACTAATGTTCTTGGATGTCTAATAGCCATATTTTGAGGCCTATACTAATTTGTTCAGAGGGACATAAAGGACAGTTTTTGCTACTTGCCCTCCTAGGTCAACTAAGCTCCAGGGAACTATGAGCACTTCTCAAAATGTCCAGTAACTGTGGTGAGTCACCTGTCTGCTTGATGAAGGAGGCCATGGAGACCTCAGCAAATGGAGTTGAAACAGTGTCCAGTCTACAAAGAGGAGTGTCAATACAGAGTAAACATTTCCTCCATGCTTCCAAGTCAAAGCATGGACCAAGCAGGACCTTTGACTTATCTTCACATAGACGAAACTGGTAAAAGAAAGGAGTCAGGGGCGCCTCCCAAGTCCATATGACCCCTGAGGAACAGATCCTCAAATGACCTTAAGAGTAAAAATAAATTGGTTTATCTGGGCCAACTGGATGGTCTTAAACACCCAAAAGGAAAGTATAACCAAAGACTAAAGGGGTCAATATAATTCTTTAAGAGTCCACATGTATAGCTAAAAGCTACATAATAAGAAAAAATGCCAGACAAGAGATACCTTCCATTGAGTTGTTGCCCAGGGTGGCCCAATAGACTCCCAGACAGTAACACAGCATAAAACTGGGAAAATGAACAGCAGACCCCAATCTTATCTAAAGGAATATTGGCAACTGATTGCTGCTAGATGAGGAAGAGTTGATCTTCTTAAAACAAGGAACTATAGATAGGCTGACTAGATTCAGCAGATGGACAAGTACTGGAGAACAGCTGGGAGCGTTGACAACACAGTGGACAGTAACAGGGATTACAGAGCATATGGGCTCCAGTGGAGGGCGGGGGAGGGTGAGAAGACTACGGAAGGGTGCCATTTGGGATGTGAGTAAATAAATGAGTAAGACTGTTTGGGATGTTCTGTATGAAATACACACAAAAATCAACAAATAAAAGAGTCATAGTTGAGGAAGAAGCATAAAAATTTGCTTCATGTTAATTAGTAGAGGTGAAACACATTATCATGATTACCACTGAAATGTACCTTATGATTTTATATCCATGCTCAGGTGCCAAGGATCTCAGAAAGTAACTGACTCAGGTGCTAAAGTAATCAACTGTGACTAGTAATAATCAGATACATAGAGATTAGGGATGCATGTGCAAACATCTTAGTATTAGTAGCAAAAACAATGAGTCTTTCTGTAAGAAACGGTATATTTTAGTCAACTAGTTTAAGGAACAAAATATATATCTAGTCAAAGTTTATCTGACAATATTTGTTTTTTTTATTCAAGCCTTATCTATATAGCACATGATAATTAAAAATACCAAACTGGTGGAGCTAACCTTATTGGATGTTTAATAGCTGTAGTTTGAGGCCTATTCTAATGTGGTCAGAGGGACTTAAAGGACAGTTTTAGCCCCTTGCCCTCCAAAGTCGACTAATATAGTCAGATAACTTTACTAGAAGACATTGGCCTATGAATATATAGATACAAATTAGTTTTTGGCATATTGCAACTGTATTTAAAGAAAAGAGGTGTGTTCATGAATTCATGTATGTATGTATATGGTTATGTATTACTTTTATGAATAAAAAGAGCTAACACTAAAGTAACACATTTCAATAAAATACATCCATTTATAAAATAAAGTAGTTTTCTAATGCAAATTAAAGAAGTTGTCCTTTTACTAAAAAAAATGTCCTTTTACTATATAAAGTTATGTAAGAGGAAAACCCTCAAGAAAAAGAACTAAAGCTTAAATTTGGCATGACAAAGAATTTATATCATATATAAAGAATTAGATAAAAGGAAAGGAAATAACAAAATTTCATTGTTTTCAAAGTTGTCAACATTGCTTTTCAGTGCTCTTTTCGAATTTTAATGAAACAACAGTGACACCTAGAGGCCAAGACAACATCAGCCCTACATGAGCCAGCAGTCTGTTCTATTAATGGATATTGACCTTGGAGTTGACAAGATTACAGACAGGAATCCAACAAGATGGATACATGTAAAAACATGTTGAATACACAATTTGAAAATGAATTTCGGGTAAATGTGTACATTCATAAATATTTGAATACAGCTGATATATTCTGCTTTGTAAAATTTTAAATTAATAGAATTGTCCTTTATATGAACTAGGTCCTTATAAAATACATTTAATATTAATTAAAAAATAATGTAGAAAAGCAATACTCTAAAAAACTAATACAGAGTATCTTACCTTCTATTAAAATTAGGCATTCACTTGATAGAGGGAGAATGCCACTATTTTTCACAAAATGAATAGCTACTTTTCGTTTTCTTTGATCTTTACTGGTCCAGACTTTTGAATCATATAATGAAGTATTTTGTAGCTTGCTGTTTGGGGTTTTAGTTGCGGCATCTTGCAAAATTGTTTCCAAATCATTCTCATATGGAACCTCTTGCCTAAAATCATTGACAATGAAATATCAGGCAATTTTGCATATTCTGAAAAACTGTAATTGAATTAATTATTCAATTAAAAATTATTTAATATCTAGACTGAATCACCTATGCTTTCCTAAGGAGACAAGGAGATAATTTACTTTGCAGATTAAATGGATTTTATTAATAGCTATTTGATACTGTGGCTAGGTAAGCTTTTATTATAATTACAATAACCATTAACAATTCAATGCTTTTAAAATTTTTTTTATTACATTTCTTTTGTGTGCATGCATCCATGTGTGTGTGTGCATGTGTGTCCACATACATGCCATAATGTACAAGTGGAGATCAGAGGGCAAGTTCTTTCCATATTGTGAGTCCCAAAGATGGAATCTGGGTCATTAGGTTTGGTGACCACTGTCCTTCCCTCTGGGCCTCCTCTCTTGGCCCATGTCTGGTTCTGATATCAAGGTTCCTTATAATTATCTCCAGCACAGAGCTACTGTCCTGTACCAGTAGCCTTGTCTTCATTCTAGTTCATCTCATTGTCACAGAGTACCTACTCTAAGCCAGTACTAATTTCATTTATCTTTAACTAGCAATTCTTTTTAAATTTTTTTATTTATTTATTTTTCATGTATGAGTGTTTTGCCTGCATGTTATTTCAATACACCACATGTTGCAATGCCTGTGAAGGCCATAGGAGGACAGTGGATCTCCTGGAACTGGAGTTACAGACAGCTATTAGCTAACACTCTGTGGGTACAGGGAACTGAACCCAGGCACTCTGCAAGAGCAGCCAGTGCTCTTAAAAAGTCACATAAACTATTGCAGAGCAGAAAAGGCATGGTTTAGAGTCAATAGGTCTAAGAGCTTTTCCTGATTCTGTCAACTACCCATGTAATCTCTTACATTCTCTATGACACTGTCCTTATTTCTTTACAAGGAGATCATAGAGGTTTTATTTGAAAAAAATCTATGATCCTATCGTATTTAATGAGCCAAAATTTGGTACTATTTCACAAGTATTCTAGTATCTATATATAGTTTAGTTTAATTACAACTACTATTTCAAGATCAAATAGGTCCAAAACAGATTCCTTGAATTCTATTAAAAAATTTAATAGCCCAGTGTGGTAGCATACACCTTTATTCCCAGCACTTGAGAGGCAGAGGCTGGTGGTGGATCTCTGTCAGTAAGGGGCTATAGGCCAGTAAGTGGCTATAGGGAGACCCTGTCCATAGAGGAGAGGGAGAGATGGAGAGACGGAGAGAGGGAGAGGGAGAGGGAGAGGGAGAGGGAGAGGGAGGGGGGAGAGATAGAGATAGAGATAGAGAGAAAGAGAGAGAGAGAGAGAGAGAGAGAGAGAGAGAGAGATAAAAATTCAAATTGGAGATCTTTAATGACAGAATTCATCCCTAAACAGTATCATTCTCAGATTTTGTTAAGGAAAACATGTAGAGCACAGAGGCTATATAAACACACAACTATGTGGACATGTCCAGACACTTTTACACATTATAGCACACTAAAGAGAAAACTTGATTCATGGTATCCAAATAGGTACATCCAACCCACTACCTGTATTTTCCAAACATCATTCTATATATTTAGAGGTAATATGATAAACTGTACTGAAAAGATTGACAGGTATTAAAAACAACTGCCTAAATAAGTTTTGAGATGAATTCATATTAATAAGACCACAAAAATTCCTATACATTTATTTAAATATTCATATAAAAACTAGTTTTTGGAATAAAGACTGAAAGTACTAATAAATTCCTAACCAAAGAAAATTCAAAAAGGCTTTGTTTAAGTTTTCTTCACTTGTATTTATCAGAGTTACTAAGTTAAATTTCAAACCCAAAATAGCACTTATTTTATTTATTATTAAGAATCAGTCAAAAGTTTTTCTCTCTAGGAAAGTAGTATTTTCTGTTTAAAACATTAGCATTCTTTGAAAATGATGTAATCAGCATTTACCTATTTTTGAGGCCATGAAACAACACACACACCCACATATATGGGCATGCACACATATAAATAATAGGACTTCAAAACTCTTTTTAATTTTGGAAAATACTTACAGTGAATGACATTTAGGACAATGAAGTTTAACAGACTGGAAAAGTCTCTTCGGTTTATATGATCTCAGTTTGGCTCGGATTCGATATTGTTGAGGAGCTTTTTGTTTCAAAATAGCACATAAAGGTGTTTTCTCTAAATACTGATGATCTGTCAGTACTGTAAAGAATTTTGACATTAAGTTAGAGTGAATCATGCATGAGAGTCTTAGGTATGTTCACTAATCTCCTTAAACCAACATATACTATAGAATCTAACTTAAGCTAAGGTTACATGACTTCTAGATATATACCTAAGGCTTATGAACTCTGTGCCAAGCACACGGTAAGTACCCAATAAATTTATGAAACAGATAATGAATAATTGGGGCAAGGAACAATTGAATTATCTAGTATGTGCATAATAAGTGTTTTTGTACAGGACTAATAGAATTTTCCAGGCTACTCTATGGAAAACAGTAAGGTTTATTTCACCAAGAAAACAAATGTTACATGTGAAAAACTTAAAAATGTTCACTGCTAATTTCAGAGAACTTTGTTAGGCAATAGCTTATACTGAATAGCTTATATCTAACTGAAATTTGCTAAAAACAAAACAAAACAAAACACATATGCTAATTTGTTATACAGACTCTTGTCCTGAATACTTCAAATTCAAGACTTTATTGAACTATCCTTTATCGGAAACTACCAGAATGTTAGAGTGGAAAGGGTTATGAAGGGTAGCCTAATTATCACGGTGATGGCATGGCAGGTGAAAAAGACAGGCTTTACTTAGAAGGTAGAACAGTGGGAAGGGAATGGGGCTGTTGGAAGAAGAACTATTATAGTCAGGATGGAAGAAAGGGTATGAACAGCAGGAGAGGATGCATGGGCAACAGGTCAAATGAAAGGCTTAGGATGGCTGGGGTCAGCTTTCACTGGTTAGGACTGAATAGCTTAATATAACCACCCTTACTCTGCTTATTAAACATCTGAGGATAACTCTTCCCTACAGAACTGAATCATAAATCTTTATGAACCTCAAATGGACAGGAAAATTACTTCAATACACAGCTTTAGTCCAACTAAGCTCTCACTAATTTTTCCTTTTCAAGTGCTAAGTAGCCAAGAGCTTACAGTAGAAACACTTTGAGTGTGTTTTTTTTAAAAAGTAAACAGTGATGGCAGATCTGATCAATTCAAAACAGAGGAACACTTGCTTTACTTCACATTGAGATAAAGCTTTTTAACTTTGTTATTTTCAATTTAAAGAAGAATTTTAATAATATAAAGACTTCCTATATACCCTTTAACAAAATTATTTGCCTCTCTCCTTATATAATTTCATTACTGAATTATTTGAGAACAGTTTCCAGACATTCTCCCAAATAGTTCAGCATTTCGTGAGAATAAGACATATATTTCATGAGAATATTGACATAACTAGAGTACATGTTTAAATACAGAAAACTAACACTGATTTAATACTGTTACCAAATTAACAGATATTATTTAAATCTCACCAACTCTCTTTTAGCATTTTATATTTGGGTCCAGGGTCCAATCCTAAACAATGCATAATCTTTATCTTTCATGTGTTTAGACTTCTTTAACATCAAATGATCCTCTATGCATTTACTTTTCTCTTTCATGACACTGATTTCAGATACAGGCTATGCTTTTTGCTGGTAAATATCAATTCAGGTGTGTCTCGTTTTTCCTCAGGCTCAGGTGTTTTTCGGCACAGACACTACATATGTGACACTGTGTGCTTCTCAGAACATCATATGAAGAGACATGACAGCAGAGCTTGTCTTATAGGGGATGGATATGGGTGCAGTTAATTAAGGTGGTGTGTCACATTTACTCTACTATGAACTTACTATTTTCTCCACTTGCAATTAGTAAGGGGGTAACTACCAAGGCGTAAATGTATTATTCTTCATCAAATATTTATGATCCTAATAATTTAGGATCTACTGATTCACAACTAAATCTATAATTACCATCACTTCTGAAAAATGCCATCTCTTTTAAAATACCATTATTTTACATTTATTAGTTGTCATTCCACCTTAAGGAAGAGCTTTCTGTTGAATCCCATTTCATTTTTCCTTTATCAGCAATTCGAGTTCATCTATTCTAGTTTTCTTCAATGAGTTCTAATCCATCACTAATATTTATTTCGATGATCACTGTGTCCCAGATTTGAGATTCTATTAGCTAAAAATTTCTTTCCCTTCTGGCAATTTAAGATGTTCCTGATCTACCTCTAACTCCCCTGCGCTAACCCTGAAATCTGCTGTTTCTCCTAAGAGACATGAATATTTTTATAAGGCGAGAGCTGTGCTTGCTGCTCCTGGAGTGCTGCTGCACTTACACAGACACCTGTAGTGATGTCTGAATTGACAGCCAAAGCTGTGGCAGCTCCACTTCCACTTAACACAAGTTCTTGCTTCTCATGCCATACCAAGAACTGCTTTCTCCACTAGGAGAAACTCCTAGTTTATAAAGTACTGCCTTACAAAGATTTTTCTGAATAAAAGGTTCTTTTGAACTTAGTTGAAATAACATAAGGAGTAGAGATGACAGATATATACTATCAATGAGGTTAATAGTAAAGTTTGGGGGCACAATATCAAAGAGGTTCTTTCGGTGTACAATGTTCAATACAGTGGAAATCTAGAAGGGGATTTACATCCTTAAGCTAGTAATACATCCAGATGCAATGATACATTTTAAAAACCTTGGTGATGTAAGATTTAAAACACATATTCAGTATAGAGATAAGTATATAGGTTCCATTTTATACCAGTATAGGATGAGGCACAGGAATAAAGGCTAAAAACAAACAGACTTTTGCTCCCATGGACATCTACTGTCATTGTTCTATTTCAAAAGCACATGTGGTCTTACTTGTAGCAGAGAGCTGCTGACATCTTTCTACCTCATATAGTGATACTGATCCTGATCCAGAGCCTATAGGAAGAGTGAAAAAGTAAAGAATTACACAATTACATAACTTTTTAAAAATTTCATTAGAAAATGAATGAAGAACTGGAACTATAAAACACTATTTAGTGAAAATTTCAGAAAATGCAAAAAAATAAAAGTTGAAATATATTACATTAGCCTCATGATTTTCTAAATTTTCCCAAAATTTATTTGCAGATATAACATAATCCAAACCAAAGTAAAAAAAGCTTAATTATAAGAATTGACAAATGACGTCTAGTCTCTCTTTAAGGGAAAATGTAAAGAATCTAGAATAATGAATAAAATCTTGAAAAAGAATATTAGTGAGTTTATACTACATAACTTCAAGACACAGTAATCAAGAAAATATAGCATAAAAACTGACAAAACAACAAAGTAAGTAGAACTTAAAAAAATCAACTTGTATTTGAGAAAGGCAGGAAAATAATTCATAGAGACTGCAAAAGTCCCTTCAAGAAAAGGCTTTACAACCACTAGAAATTATTAATGGGAGGAGATGCATAATTTACACTATAGCGATACATAGAAGCCCCATCAAATAAATCCATATTCATACCAATTTGACTTTTTTTTGCAGACTTACTGAAGCCTCCTAAATACGAAAACAAATGACACCAACTAGAAAGTCCTTTGTAACTGTGTCACTAAGCATTAAGAAATGTACTTCTGACATATGCTACAGATTTATCTCAGAAACATGAGAGCACGTACACCACCACACACAAGACTCCATTTATTTAAAGTTTTACAGGAATATCTTTGTGTGATTTGGATAATTCAGGTTTATGCACTAGACATTCAAGATGTATAAGAGCAAAAACTACTCAGGCTGTTAAAGATAAAGGAACATCAACATCTATTGTTCATTTTAGAAACTAATAACCAAAATAGTTGCATAGAAAATACAGATTTTGTTTTAATACAAACACAATACATACACACATCATAAATAAATAATCACTACAACCCTAATTTGAAAATGCAATTATATACTTAAGGATTAACCCTGTTTACTTTTACATTGGACACAGATTAAAGGTTTAAGGTGTTCTTTTAATACACACACACTATTATATAGATGAAAATATGAATTTAAAAGAGACACTGAAGAAAACATTTAGGAAGAGAATTATGTTCATAAACTGTCAAATGTTAAACACTGCCATTACTTGAAAGTGTTGGAAAGTTCTCCTCGTTTTCCAACTGATCATCTGAAGGCTGAATGGCTGTCAAATCTGCAGATTCTAAAGCTCTAAAATTGAAAGAATATAAAATCAAATTGTATAACAAAGACAATGCAGTAAGTTTAGCTCTACCCACAAAATCTAGGTATTGACTGAAATTATAAAATTTGGTTTTGATGACCTATAACTTTTATCAGATTATCTGAGAGCTTTGAAGTCCTTAAAATAAAAAAGGTCAGAAAGTACAGCAAGTTGTGCTGGATAGCTTTAGTGTCAACTTGGCACACCTGGGTTGAGGGAGCCTCAATCGGGGAATTGCCTCTATTGGACTGGCCTATGGCCATATCTGAGGGGCATGTTCTTGATGAGTGATATGGGAGGGCCCAGCCCACTGTGGGTGGTGCCACCCCTGGGCAGGTGGGCCTGTGTTGCATAAAAAAGCAGGCTGAGCAGGGGCAAGGGGGAGCAAGCCAGTAAGTAGCTTTTCTCCATGGCCTGTGCTCCAGCTCCTGCTTCCAGGTTCCTGCCCTGAGTTCCTACCTTGGGCTCCCTGATGAACTTCGACCTGGGAGATGTAAGACAAATAAACCCTTTCATCCCCAAGTTGGTATTGGTCAGAGTATTTTGTCACAGCACTGAAGAACAAACTAGGACAGACAAGTCAAGGAGATATTACATACACATACAGACAAAATGATACATATACACAGACAAAGAGACAGACAGAAACACCCCCGCTCCACACACACACAGAGGAAATTTAATGGTTAGCATTCTGGGTTAGAATAATCTCAGTACAGATTGGAAAAATGAAATATTATGCTGACATATTGTGTGTGAAAACAATATGGAAGTGGAAAAATAGAAAATCTTTATTTTAAAATTTTATTATTTTTATTTTATGTGCATTAGTGTATTGCCTGCATGCATATAAGTGCACTCATCTTGTGCAATGTGCATAAGTCAGAAGAGAGCATCGGATTCCCATGAAATGGAGTTACAGACGATTGTTAGCTGCCAAATGGATGCTGGCAATTGAACTCGAGTCCTTTGCAAGAGCAGTCAGTGCTCTTAACTGCTAAGCCATCTCTCTAGCCACAGAAAATTATTATTTTTTAAATATTTTATTATTTTTTATTACATATATGAGCGTATTGCCTGCATGTGTGTATGTTGACCTGTGTTGTACAATGTCCGTGGAGGTCAGAAGAGGGTGTCAGATCCCCTAACTGGAGTTAGGACAGGTGTTAGCTGCCATATGGGTGATGGGCATTGAACCTGGGTCCTCTGCAAGGGTAGTCAGTGCCCCTAATGACTAAACTAATTCTCTAGTCCCAGAAAATTATTTTTAAAGAGAATTGAAACCAATAAAACTTGGATGATAGTAATTTTATTTCAATTTATGGAACAATGTATTTCTCTTTGAAGATACATAGATTTCTTTCTCTAGAAATAGGTGAAAATGTTTTGGCACAAAGTACTCACTAGAAACACCTGAGGAAAAAGAAAACCAAATTCATAACAGCATTTTAGATGCTATTTTTAAAAGAATTTAAAAAATATTCCTTAAAATATTAAATAAAAATGGGACATACATACTTTGGGGATATATTTAATCAGAAGTACCTTAGAAAGATAATTTTTTTCCCCTATAGTATGAGTAAGTAGACTTTGAATTCGTGACATACAATCAAGTTTTCTAAACTGGCTAAAATTTATTTTCCACTGTTTGTTGCTATATTAGCGTAGCAAATAGTAAAAAAAAAAAAAAAAAAAAAGACTCAAAAAAAGAGGCAGATTTTAACTGCTGAAATCCTAAATTATATTGCTGGTTCTGCTACTAACTCATTTCTTAAATTTATACTTACTTGTTTGCCTTATCTATTAAAAGATAATGGAGACAGGGCTAGTTATGTAGCTCAGTGTATATATAGTGTCTGCCTAGCAGGTTTAAGAGTCTGGGTTTGATGGAAAAGGACAGAGAAGGCCGGACCACAGTCCCCAAGAACAACCCAATCTTGCAAATTAACTTAATGAGTATCTCACTTATACTTTCTAAGCACGTATAAATACTACGCACTTTTTCAGCTGATCCACATCAGAGTTATTTTCCGGCAAGACCCTGATCCCCCGGCCATAGCTGGTACCTCCATGAAGGTGAAACTCCAGCCTTAACAGTGAAGTCTGGGTCTCTGAATTCACTGACTGAAGTTTGGTATGGAGGCTGTAGATCCTAAGAAAGCTTCCAACCTAAAAGATGATTATTTATTATTTAGATAAAGGAAAAAAAAACATAAATACACATTTCTGATATTTGAAATTTTCACAAGCAATAGGAAACAGTGATCATCTACAATGAAGGACACCACCCAACAAAAGAAGACACTGGGGACACTGCGGTGCTGTGCCCCAGGATCAGTTGCATGGACTCATGTCAGAGCCCAACATATGTACAGTGGCATGCTTGTTCCACACCCGTGTGCATGTCAGACAACACACTGGCCCATTCCAAAGACCCCCCAAAAGTGAAGAAAACCTGTCATTCTTGGCATCAATAAAATATAGGAATCCACGACCTAAATGAAATTCTATTTGATAATGTTTCTGAAAAGAACTTGTTGAGCAGTTTAAAATAAGATTAAATGAGGAATAAAGTCCTCTATGAAAAACCAGAAACAATGCAAGCATGTAATTATATCAAAATAATAAAATGGCTAGGTGTGGTAGCGCATGCCTTTAGTCCCAGCACTGGAGAGGCAGAGGCAGGTGGATCTCTGTGAGTTCAAGGCCAGCCTGGTCTGCATAGTGAGTTCCAGTCCAGGTGGGGCTACAGGGAGACCCTGTCTCAAAGAGACCAATAATAGTAATAATAATAATAAAAATAAAATGTCCATAATTATCCTACAGGCTCATTTTTTTGGCTAACCAAAACAACCCTCCTGCCTTAGCCTTGCGAGTACAGAGATTAAAGGTGTGTGCCACCATATATTTTGTGCTATCCCACAAATTCTATGAAAAGCAGTTTTTAATAAAACATTTATACTTGCATCACAATCATGTGAAATATTTTGTGAATTTAAATATAAGATTAAACTGGAATTTTTAACTAAAAACCCTATATCTGAGATATTTGGCTAAACTTATTCTAAAAAGATTTTTAAATAGAGAACTTAAGATTTTCTTTCAATGAGATTTTGAATGAGAAAATGTAGAGTGCTAGTCAAAGAAATTGATCGAAAGTCAGGTGCTGTGTTATGAGCCTGTACCAGCTATGTGGGAAGATTGCTTGAGCACACATGTTCAAACCCAGCCTGGTCAACCCCATTTCAACAAAACAATAAAATAAAGATACTGACATCTACTTAAAGGAACAAGCTGCATAACCTAAGTCATTTATTTTTATGTAGACTTATAAACAAAAAGGTTTACAAACTAGAAAATTTAATTTACCTGCATAAAAATAGAATTCTTGGGGTTAGAGAGATGGCTTAGCAGTTGAGAGCCCTGGCTGCTCTTGTACAGGACTTGGGTTCGATTCCCAGCACCCACACAGTAGCTAACAATTGGCTGTAACTCCAGTTCCAGGGGATCCACCTTCCTCTTCTGACCTTCGCAGGCACTGCAAGACATGAGTGCACTTACCTACATGCAGGCACAACACTCACAGAGATAAAATAAAAATAAAATATTAAAAATTAGCACTTTTGATTGCTGGATTGATAAGTCACCTTTCTGTTTCCTAAAAATTCAGCATAACAGTGGTGACATCGTATAAATTGAAAAAGATGAATGAGGGAAATGAGAGAGAGAGAGAGAGAGAGAGAGAGAGAGAGAGAGAGAGAACTGAAGGTCCTCTGATTCTTCAATGTAAAAGAGAGAGAGAGAAAGAAAAAAGAAAGAGGGAGAGAGAGAGAGAGAGAGAGAGAGAGAGAGAGAGAGAGAAGAGGGGGCAAGCTAAGCTTCCAGTGTGTTCCCCGTGGTCTCCTCTACTTCTTCTGATGCTTTAAGCTGGGGTGGAACAGAACCAGTGGCAAGGAAGCGGGGAGAAGCACCGTTGTCACCCAGCTTCCTTTACTTGCGCCTGTGTCATGTTTGCAGAGAACAACACACAGGTTCAGGAAACACAGACAGAAACACAGAAGTGCAGGATTTATTTTTCATGTTGGCTCCAAAGTGATGTACTGAAAAATATAAAAATTTCTAATTCTTGCACAATATTTGAAGTGTTTGTTATGTTTGAATACTGGTACAGTAGATGTCTAAAAGCCAAAACACCGAGAGAAAGACCATGTACTAATAGACAAAAGCTTAAATATCATAAACATAATTTCCTCCAAATTAAGTTTTAAATTCAAGGCAATTTCAGTTAAAATCTTCCATGTCTTTTGTGAAATCTGAAAACCTATTCCAACTATGCATATGAGAGAGGAAGATCAAAACATTTTGAAGTCAGATGTGGGGCCAGGCAAAGGCATAAAGAACAAAAGGAGAAGCACAGTGGATGAAAGGGCAAAACAGTGAGACCAGGCAGGCACTAAGAAGACCCAACGTGCAGCTCTATTATTTTAAAGGTATCTGAAATAAATGAGTAAAATCTTATGAAGTTGAAATGTGAGCAAATGGGTGCTTATTACACTTCTCCTTCACTGCAATACCGTCCTACTGAACAAAATTTACAGACCAGATTGGAACTTATTTATATGAACAGACCAGAGTAACAATGACAAATTGTTATTATCAGAAATTCCTTCTGGAGGCAGCATTGCATTTTTTAAGCTTGAATAAATGCTATGAAATGTGCCTGTTATTCCATTACAAAAGAAAGTTGCTTAGTCTTGTCAGTAATCCAATAAGACTCCAAAGCTACAAGAAAAGGAATTAAAGCATAAGAATGTAGTTTTAAAAATTACTATAAAGGTCTAATTTAATACAGAACCATTAAAAAAGTTAGCATGTCTCTAGAAAAAGGATTCTCTACCAAGAATTTCTCTTTAGGTACAATATTTATTTTCCCTTGTAGACAAACCACATTTACTGGGCCACTAAAGGCCGAATCATAATTATGACTACGTATGCTTTAAGAATTATAACAGGGTAAGACTGAGTATTTTAAAAGGATGTTTTTTGCTTTTAGAAAAAATTTTTAAGATGTCATTTTGTATCTGCATATCAATGAAAAATATTGGAAGAATGACATCCTTTAAATGATTCACAAAGGAATTAAAAAGAGGTAAAGGTAATCTGGGCTGTAAAATGTATTATCTATGGAAGTTAATTCTACTATGTTTTAATACTGCATTAACTACTGTCTTTATTTAAAGCATTTTCCTGCTCCTATAATAAATTATGAATCTACTCCTTGCATTTTGGTATAAAATGCAAATTTAAACAGCTGTCTTGAAGTGCTGATAAGAAATTATTTGTATCAATGTCATATGACTAAAGATTTCCTATTAATGTCAAAGTCACAGAAGTTGTCAGAATATAATTGTGGTGTGAGGGTACAGTAAATAGCATAGAGTTACATCACATATAGAGAAAACTATTTCATTTCTATATTGCATTGCAAATAATACAGTATTATGATGTCTTTATAGAAAGAAATGATATGTATCTATTTTCTAAATTATGTGTGCTTATATCCCCCTCTAGTGGACAGTGCAGAGGACACAATGACATAACAAATCTGAAAACATTCAAAGCACTCCGGACCCCTCACTAACCACAGGTACTACTTTACCCTTCCTGTCTGGAGAGCCTTGCAATGTGCTACTCCGGACTTAGACAAAAGAAGCAGGACAGTGGAGAAACAGACCTAGGAAAGCTACACAGGGAAAGAGAAGGGGAATGGTCAAAGCGGAGAACGCAGACTGGAGCTGAGGCGATTCTAAAACGCACATCCTTCTTCCTTGTAAGGGAATCCTTCCTATGCACTACAAAAACACCTTCACATTCAGATTTATCAGTATTTCTGTTCCAAAGTAAATTAATCACTGTACACAACTTCTTCAGGGGTAAGTACCAAAAATCTATTTTCAAAAGGCAATTTTTTTTTCTAGAAAGCGGTGCATGCGTGCACACAATTTATAGAGAAGGAGGTGTAGTTCCTACCTTGCTGGGCCCTGATCTTCACCTAATTTACTGATCTGAGTCAAGTGAGACAATTTTAACACAAGGTGGGAAGGGACTTGTTTTGTGCTCCATGGATTTGTTGTATAAAAGGAAACAACACTGAGCATAAGCACAATTCTAAATTCACGTTTTCTTATTATAAATAGGTTGCAAGATATCTTCAGTAGAGATCATCAAATTTTATTGTTTATTTGGAAACAGACACTGTGGACTTCTGAATACCTGATTTTCTCTTGTAAAATGGATTAGAAACAGTGCCTTCCTCATAGTATAATCTCCAAATCACATGAAATATCTAGAAAGTGTTATTCTGAGTAGTGTTATTTTCTACAAGATACTGTCAAATAAAATATAGAAAAGAATGAAGAAAAAAAATGATTCTCTATAATTTGTGGGGTTGGAACCTTAGTCACATGAACATCCCGAGAACCACCAGGACTTTATCCAGAACTAAGAGCTGTGAGGCTAGCACACAGCTCCCTGGACTGTGCTCTGTGAAGACTTTATATGGCAGCCTGTATTGTCACACAATCATGGGAGGATACAGACTTATTTCCTTCTGGCAGGAAACACACACACACACACACACACACACACACACACACACACACTCGCACATGAATTGAATGTGGGGCAGTAAGGGAGACAGATAGAT